AAGAAATGGAAGTATTAATAGAATAAACCTCATTTTAATCTCCAATAACAATGACAGAATAATAAAGGAAGAGCTTTTATCCACAAGCTTTTAGGCATTTTACATGCACACACAAATATATATATATATATATATATATATACCCTTTTAAATTTTGGAAATAGCGTATTTGTTCCTCCAAATTTAAATACAACATACATGTGTGTATACCTTTGATATTTGAATCTTTTATACATCATTTCTATAAGCGTTTATTAAATAAACTCAAGTTTTGTGATTGTCAATAAGTTTTAAGAATTATTAAATTTTAAAAAACATAAAATTTTATTTGATATTTTCATCAAAAATTTTACTTTAATAGATAATCATAAAATAATTATATATATAGGACTATAAGTAAATTTTAAGGGTATTAATGTTATTTAAAACTTCAACATTATTTTTTTAATGTTGGAGATTGTTTAACTTTTTATAAAGTATATAAATGTTAAATTTAAATTTAAATTTAAAAATTTTGTATTGATATATCTGATTAATGAATATATTATTGTATAAATAATAGGTTTTAAATTTAAGTATATCATGGTGAGAAAGTGAAAAAGATATATAAAATTTTACTAATTATTATAATAAATTTAAAATTAAGTAATGATGGATAAATACCACAATAATAATAATAATAATAAGCCAACTAAATCAATTTTTATATTTGAGATAAATATTAAATATTATATTTATTTTATAGAGACTATTTATATGCAATGAGTATAATTTATTGAATCTATTTTTAAAGAAATAAAAAATCTATAAAACATATGTTTGCATTTATCATACATCAAATATGATCTTTAAAAAATCATAAAACAACAATCTTATCATTACACTGAGCAAATTTATCATAGTACATCAAAGTATTAGAATATGAAACATATTAATAATCCATCAGATATAGGTGGATTGATAGGACCAAATTACATCATGAGGAAAACAAATCCTATCTGATCTATCTCTAATTACATGTGTTTGAAAGCCCTAATAAATCTAATTACTGTTCAACATATATATTTGGAACTAGTTTTGTCCCATAAATATCTAGCATTTGGATTTCTGTGGCTTACAGATAAGCCAATTTATTTTATTACCAAAATAAACTCCATCCCCACACTTAACAAGTCTCAAAGTAAAATTTGCCAAACTTTTGGCCTACCATCATTTGCTGTATCCATTAAATGCAAATTACTAGCAAGGACATAAGCCAAAATGTACCTATTTGCAATATGATAATAATACCAGAAGACATCTCCACATGCACCTGATTTGGAGCAGATTGAAGCTCTACTGAAGCAATCTTATTACATTTCAATACACTAGAAGCTTAATTTGCATAGGTGATGAAGCAAAAGAATGGGAATATGATCATCCTATGGAACCAAGGCTCAGAAACAGTATCCTCAGACTGGCATACATTATTAGATGAAAACAATGTTATCAAAATACAATATTCAACTTGAGGGTCTACAAATTTATCACCACAGGCATTGGATAACAACAGTTGATGTATTTTCCTCCACTGCAAAAAAGAGGAACCATTATACATGATTTAAGGAAACTGAAGAAATTGGCTGAAAGTGGCATCCCATGAACTCTCTCTATATGTTCATTGTAGTGTTGCTGAATCATAGACTGCAACATCTGAGGAAAAGAGTAAGCAGAATTTTCTTTCAGGTAAGGATTTATGACCAATTCTTTAAATGTGCAAACTTTAATACCAAGTTCTTGTTGTAAAACTAGTATGAATTGTCATCAATATTCAATAATGTCAAAGATTTCCTCCCCACATCAACTATCCATGATCGAGTTGGTCTAATATAAGTCAAAACTATTCCTCAAAAACTTCAAAAATATTATGCAAAACTAACCATTTCATGTGTATCTCATCACCGTATCACGCATCAGATTTTCAGGGGCTGCAAAAGAAATAAGACATGAAGAAGACCAAATTATTAAGACACTCCTTGAAGCATAAAAAGCCTGCCAAACTGTGGTAAGAATGTTCAAGAAATTACCAGTCAAATTTGTGAATAGTTCGAATTGGCCCATTGCTTGCCTTATAAACATCTCAAGTCCGCTAACAACAGTAGCTCCAGATTCTTCCGCTTCCCTCAAAAGTCTGGTTGCTCTTGGGGTGTAGACCGCATCAAAAACCACAGAATAAGACCCAAGAGCTTGCTGTAGATTTACTAACACATTTAATCATAGAACTTGGTCACATCAAAAGTTAAAACAAATCACATTCTTGCAGCCAAAAACAAGCAGCACATTCTCATGTTTGATATGGGCAATATTCTATTTGGTCATATTACATAAGACAGACAAATAGGTTATTTCTGGGCTCCAGATGCATCAGCAATGAAGGCACTACAATCCCCCTCTATAATATCTATATTAAGGTTTTATGTACTGAAAAATAGAAAGAGATATGTGATATGAGCTCATTGTCCAGTTGGACCAAATGATTGGAAAAAAAAAAGGTTGCATCAAATGAACGAGGTGACTTTCAAATGATTAAGGTGATGACTGAATTCCCCAGTAGTATTCAACTGAAGCTATTTGTATTACTAAGGTGGCAGACATTAATGTCTCAGGCCATCTCCTTGAATGATGCATGGAAAGGGCTAATACAATTTATTGTAGAAATTTGGAAGTAATGATTGACCTATAAAAAATTCTTGAAAGAAAGCAATGCCAGCTTGAAAACAGAGATTACAAACCTTCCTGATAGGGGTCCCATTAACATTTGGTTGCATTCCAATTGATGTTGTGTTTGCAAGAATCATTCCATCTTCTGGATGGAAAGTTTCCAATTCAGCAAGTGTCAATGCATGGCCCCCGATCAAGTTTGCAAGCTCTCTAGCTCGTTCTGACAATCACATAAGTTTAAGAATTTACAAGGCATGCAACCACAGTAAATTCTATTAGCTAAACAGACCTACTGCTGATCCTAGTCAGAATTCAACAAACTATAACCAACATCATAAATAATAGTGGAGTATATACATATCCTACAGATTAACCTTCATAGAAAAAGCATTAATGGTAAGATCTCAATGTCAGAAAACAAGATTGCACCTGAAAACGATGGAAGCCATTGCAAGGTAGAAGAAATTTCCCAATTTCAAAAGAGAAATTTCTAATCATGATATCATAACTTAATCAACCAGATCTACCAGCTGTTTGAAAAGTCAAAAATGAAAATGCAACAAAATATTAGTGGGATGGTGGCATGGAGCTAAACAGGCATGGGCACTCATAGGTCATAAATAATGAAATTGCAATTAATGATGGAATGATGGCATGGAGCCAAACAGGCATGGACCCTCATAGGTCAAGTAATAAGCAAAATAAGGACAATAATAATGAGAGCATAAGGATTTTGTATATATGGATGCTATGTTGCTCCTTTCTCTGTAAATATGCACTACTTTGTTCTTCCAGTACTATCCAATACAGAACCTAAAGAAGTGGTATGAGGGCAGTAATTAATTGTCATTTGAAGAAAATTTACCATAAGTCCGATTTGCAATCACAACCTTTGCTCCTTTCTCTTTTGCACCATATGCAAGAGCTTTACCAGCACCACCAGCACCTATGATGACAAACACTTTACCAGCAAGGGGAGAAACAGTCTCCTTTCCCACTCCCTGTGAACCTGTCAAAGACATACATGGGATCTTGATATGCTGTTCCACTGAATGCAAGCTACCTTTGCATGTAAATATTCATAAAACAGTGACACATTGAACTGGTGAACATGTAAGACACCTCTTATTCCATCCTCAATTGCAGATATTGCACCAACATAATCAGTGTTATAACCAATTAATTTGCCATCACTTGGTCGTCTAATGATTGTATTTACAGCACCTATAGACTGGAAGAAAAAAAATGAACAATAAGTTAAGAAAAAGACGAAGGAAGATGACAATGATCATAACCAACTCATAATATCTTGCTACAAAATTCTTGAAAATGATGCAAATATCCCATTAAAATAATTCCAATAACCACTCAAGTTGGGAATGCAGTTGCTCACCTTTGCTATTGGGTCCACCTTATCACAACATCCAACCGCAGCTTCTTTGTGGGGAATTGTACAACTGCACCATAGGAGAAGGTGGAGTTGATATCAGACAGAAGATTGAAAATATTCATTAAAAATGACACTTAACTATCTAAATAAATAGATAACAAACATTCTTCAATAACTGGAAATTTAGCCATCCGCAAATTCATAAGCATGTACAAACCTGATTCTGCTCATGCACACCTAAGACTAAGACTTTTTTCAAGGTTAACAAATGACTATCATCTTTTTCTTTCTTTCCTTCTTTTTTCTAGTGAAGACTATTAGCAACTCAATTGTGTTTTCAGGTTCTCTTTGCAAGGCTACACTCGGACATGGACAGTGAGACTTGAATTCAGTTTTTGATGTACACCTAGTAATGAGTAACCATCCAATGATTATGCAATATTAACCTTTATTTCCTAGTCAGGTCAAGCCAATAATCTACCATATAATATGTAAACATGATTAACTGTTCAGGCAAGAGAATTTATATCCAATTGACAGTCACACATCCTTGATAGCCTGAAACAAGTAGACAGAAAATTGATCCAAATGTTGGCAAATAATTCATCAAATATGATTATCTTTTTTCTAAATGACCTGACTGCACAGCAACTGAAAAAGGATGTCATGGTATATGAAGCTTTCTATGTTGTCTGGAGAGGTTAAATGCATATGCACACCTGACTCCTTCCCATAATTCAAATTCATATTTCATACATTATGTTCATTATAAAATAACTTGAAGATCCTGCACAGTTCATTGCTCCAGTGGAGCAATACTGCACAGAAACATATTTAAACAGATAGAAAAGCATCCATGATATTTGGTTTACCCTTAATGGTGA